TCTGCAGACACATGCTGAATTAGCATTGTCCTTTGCATTGAAGTTCTTATTTGATGATTTTCCAATTTTACTTTGGGTTGGACGGAAAGAAAGATCCCCTTCTCCTTGCCTTGGGAAAGCTCTTGGCATCTCACTAGTAAGTGACGGAAGAGAAATCTGATTGCAAACAGCTGATTCTTCAATTGCCTGTTTCTGTTTATTTGATTGAGATGGGTGACATTCTGGCTTACCAGGTTTCGCTTTAGTGGCCTGATAACTAGAAATAAGCCCTTGTGCTGATGCAGATGGAAACAGCGCAAAATCATTACCACTATGTGCTGGATCATCACACAGAGTAACACCCTTATTTTGGAAAAAAAGTTGAGATGAACCAGTGAGAGCGTTGTATTTATACAATACTTCTTGGTATTTATCCTGAGTTAAGAAGCCATCCACGTGGGGGCCATTCTCCTGCTGGTCCTTCAGGAACGGACCATGGAGTTTTTGAAACAAAGTGGAGCTGTTGTCATCTTCCAGGCTGCCATCTTTAGAGCTCTCCGTAAAGAATAGCTCCTGCTGCAAATCACCCAGCTTTTCATCCATACTGTAAGTTTCCTCATCAGTTTGAAGTGGAGAATAAGAGATTTCACAGCTACTAAAGTCATTTTCTGGCAATGGAGAGTGTATGTGTTCTGAGTTGCTTTGGCTGTCTAGTTCTTCAGCAAGAGGCAAACTGACTCCCACCAGTTTGTCATCATTAACACATTCTGGAAATTGTACGTTTTGTTGGGACGGTTGGATATTTGTTGAAGAAGGAGAAGAAATCTTTTTATTGGTTTCAGTTGGAGACTGAGATTTCTTTAGATACGGTGTCACAAACGAGGGGTAAGTTGAAACAATTAAGTTTTCCATTGGCTTCTGATGCAGAGACCATCTTTCCTCAAGGCCACAGAGAAAGACCGAATTAGTCTCACTGAAGCAGTCCCCTGGCCCGCGTGGTGGGCTGCTGAAAGGACTATTGCCCGCCCTGCTCTGAGCAAGCAGGAGGTGAGTGTATCTCTTGAAGTGAGAAGGAATTGTTGAGGTGCACAGAAGACCATCAGGACACTCTGAAAATTTTTAAAAAGTAATGCAGGATCAAAGCACAGACAGCGTTAAAACCTAAGTGGAAAGTCATCAGTCCTACTTTGAGGCCTTAGGACCATAACTATCTTTACACAATCAAAAGATCCAGCATAAAATAATAATAATCCAGTATGGTTTTGCAATGTGCTAGTTACTATTTTTAAGTCAAATTTCTTTAAATTTAATTTAAAGAAACTTTAAATTTCTTTTCAAATAACCTTATTTTCCAAAATTTTTGTAAGACTAAAACCTTTCCCCCCTAAGTAACTCTCACAAATGAGTCCCTTCAAACTACAGTTCATGTTTACACAAGGTATTTATAGGTGTTCACTAGTTCACTATTGCTCTGGCAATAGAGTGAAAAAGACTAGTGTGTCTCTCTGAGAACCAAAGTTCTACCCCAATTTTTATCTTATTAAGTAATACGGATTTGTGACAATTAGAGTACCCAGTTAGGGTCCATTATTTAATATTTACACTGTATACAATAAGAGCAATAACAAGCTTAATTAGTTATAGCTGTTCATACATAGTTTAAATTCTAAGATTTGAAATTCAATTTGATAAACTGGTTAATAATAAGGCTTTAATAATAATCTGGAAACTATTCCTCATCATACATTATAATTAAGAAACAGTCTGTAAACTATCTTGGCATATACCCTTGTATGTTAATTTCCAGGTGTTTTTTTTTTTTTTTTAAGTTTTATTTAAGCAATCTCTACGCCCAATGTGGGGCTCAAACTCATGACCCCAAGATCAAGAGTCGCATGCTCTTCCGGCTGAGCCAGCCAGGTGCCGAATTTCCAGCTTTATCAAAAAATGACCCACTCTCCCTCCTAAAAAAGATGTTACAATAAATTAGAAGGCCTCGTTGCTTAATGTAATTTAAAACCACCTCATAAAAGTATTTGTTGTGGCACAGAATTCAACTCAAGAAGAGTCTATATGAAATTCTATTCAAAGGAGTTTAGTGAAAAACCAAAAGAAAAATCTCTTTGAGGTGGCTTCAGCAGAAGACATTTCACCCTGAGCTGCTCACCATGAGACTCCAACTTCCATTTCTGATTTTCAAGCCACTTAAAAGCAAATTAGCAGCCTTTGATGAGATTTTCGCTTTATAAAAAAGAAGCTAATGCCAAAATTTTTTTAAAGTTCTTTTGCATCTTTATGCAGTACTTTAAAATAACTAGAGGTTAATAATAATGTCTTCTGAATCATACATAACATGAAAGCCATACTGAGTAGTATTTTTATTTTGCTGAATTTTAATTCTTTGAGATTTAAAAATCCATATGGTATTTATAACTTTGAAATACAGAAATCATCATAACAACCCATTTTTCATATACTCCAAGTGGGACTACCTACACGTTAAACATGACATTATATATCTTAAAAGATAATAAAGCATAATATTACTTCAGTTATCATTTGGCACATTTTTAATTCGAATCTTAAAAACCTAAGACTCCTTCCCAGATCTTCTTCCTGTACAACAGCATGATAAATCCAACATTTAGAAGACTCAACTATACGCATAATTCCCCAAATTTGTTTCGCAAAAGATAACAATTGGGCAGTTTAACTTTTAAGAATGCTCATCTGTAAAACGTCAATACCACTTATCTTTTGCTGTCATTGAGAGTCAAGTAAGTAAACAGAAAGTATCTAGCATAGTATGTGCTCAATTAACATTTATGAAAAATCATTGCGATGTTTAGGAACTTCTATGAAATAATAAAATGCATTTCAACTGTTTTCAAGTTTGCAACATTCTTTACAATTATACCATTGACTATGATCTCTTTACCCTTCTCAAGAATGGTTTCCTTGTTTCCTTCTAGGGTAAGACATTTATACTTCGGTGTCTCATCTCCCTTTCATTTTACTGATCGGACTGATTCGTCTGACCTAATGCAGGCTTTTTAGACTATTTAAAGACCACTTCGTTTTTTGTCATCTTACCTGTTTCAGAGACTGATGGAGAATCCAAACACTCAAAAACATGCCATCGAGGTGTTTGACCTAGCAATGAGGAGAAAGGCATCTGGCAGTTTGGGCAGTATCCATCATAAACTGGACGTATCTTTGGAGATACTTGTTTGTTTTTGCGAGTCCTGCAATGCTTTCCTGAAGCCATCTCCTTGTCTTGGGACTGGGGAATACCATCTCCGCAACTAGAATTCTGACTAGAAGCTACAGAAGTCTGACTAGCTGTTTCTCCAAGGCACATTTCGGGGTCCTTTGTCTTCTCTTCAGCTTCTGCGGTTCTTTTTTTATTTCTGTTTCGTTTCGACTGGTATTTTCCATCTGTTGCTTTTTCAACAGATTTTGGAATAGTCTCAGAGCAATTATTTGTATGTACTGGTTTTGGTTTTCTTTTAGATTTGTATTCCCAGATGTCTTCTTCCAAAAAAGCATCTTCTAACATGGCAAAATGATTTTTAAGTAAATGGAGAATCTATTTCTTGTTACAAAAATTTCAAATGGAAATATTTTCCTGAAAAAAAAAAGTAACAAAACCCCCACTAACTTGATGGGAATCTAAAGTTTTGGTAATGAATGTATTGGCAAACTACAAGCCTTATACCTGAGAACACCTGCTATTCCATTTATACCACAATAAAATTAAGAGAACCTACCACAGGGGTAGCATCTGAGAATTTTCCCATTGTGACCACTATTTCATTCAAGTGTGTCGGTCTTTCCAAGGACTTGATTCATAAAAATAAGAATCAGTAATACTTGGAAAATTAAGCACTAATAGGAAGTATAGGTTCAATAGCTTAATCTTAGAATGAGCTTTGTAAAATTGTTATAAAGCTCCTGTCAGTTCCCTTTCAACTGGACAATTGTCCAAATAATTCACAAATAAAACCACAGTCCCTGGGCAGTTGGCTTAGCAGGGTTTCCAAACATTAAATGCCTATCTCAGCTTGCTGGTACCACCATAATCACACCATAAGCAAAGAGGTGTGTGAATCGGGGGAGTAATAATTGCCCTTATCCTTGACTCTTGGATATTCAACCACTTCAGTTTCCTGGGTCAGCCCAGTATCTTCTTCCAGCAGCAACGAACAAACACTGAACAATGGACAAAAAAAATTCAAGTGAAGTTGTGCCTGCACTGAGGCCACCCACACTCCTAACTCCAGACTGCATAAGTGGTCTGCCCTAGAGGTGGCCAGCCCTCTCTCCCAGGCCTCAAAACCAAGATTCACCTGCCTGATGCCTCCCACCTTCTCTGCCTTCTCTTTGAACTCAGGAGGCTGCAAGGCCACTGAGTGGGGCCTTATCCCTTCCAGGGCAGGGAGAGAGTGAGCTGCGAGCACAGCCGGTTCCATAGAAGCTATCAGAGCCCTCCGCTTCCGAAGTCGGAGGCCCAGCCCCCCCGGATCCTCGCCGCAGCCCACCTGCCACCCGCACACCCTCCGGAGTAGCTCCAGCTGCGTCCGCTCCCCTCGGCTCCCCCCTCCCCTGCTCCGCTGACAGTCTGTTCGCGCTCGCACTTTCAGCACTGCGGAGCGACAAAATACTGTATTTGTGTACAAGCCAAAGCCATTGCCAGTCACTCCCAACTTAAAAAAAAAAAACAAAAAACCTATCCCATGAGGATATCCCTACCCGCTTCACCAGTGGCGTCTTGGCGGGAACAGCTTCCCCTAGCCAGTGCTGTGTCGAATCGGCTGACGCTGGTCTATGGGCGGGACTTTGAAAAAGTTTGTATCCTTTTAGGTCCTACCGATTTATTTTATTTTATCTTATTTTTGTTCTAAAACCCGCTAATTTCCAAAGTGAAGTGCTGGGGCGGGGGGGATAGTTCTCAGAGCTTCAGGAACGCGAACCCAGAGACTTTCCCCATGCTGAATCTGGCGCTGTGAATGTCCAGGCTCAGTTGTGCCGGGCCGCTCTGGAAGGGGCGGGGTGGTTTGGGCTGGCGGCTAAATTACAGGCCCGGGAATTCAACTGTTTGTATCGTAGCATTGGCATGCATGATTACAAAGGAAAAAGGTGTCGTTTACATGGAGTGGGGGCTGGTGTAGAGTGAGGTGAATGTGCCGTTTTGAAACCAAAGGACAGTAAGCGCTTCCTCTCTCCCCATTCGAGACCCTCCCGCGGGCCCGGCGGCCGCCTCTGGACTGTCCGGAGAGAACATGGCGGCCCCCGGAGCCCGGGGCTGCAGCCTCGCGGGTCTGCTCCCGGCGCAGACCTCGCTGGAGTACGCCCTGCTCGACGCCGTCACCCAGGAGGAGAAGGACAGCCTGGTCTACCAGTATCTACAGAAGGTGGACGGCTGGGAGCAGGACTTGTCAGTGCCCGAGTTTCCGGAAGGTGAGGGGCAGGCTTCGGGGTGGGGACCCCTCCCGGAACCTCCCCTTCCTCGGGGACGACGCCCTCCCCTGAAGCGGGGGGCGAGGCGGGGTTGTGCGACCGCGCCCGGGCGGTTCGCCAGCTCTGCGGCTTCCCTGGGTCCCCAAGCGGCGGAAAAGGGTGGTTTTCTGGAGCGCGGAGACGTGCACATTCGCCTCGGTATCTCGAGTCCGTCCCTGCGGGGGCCTAGTGTGAACTAAGTAGACATTCCATGAATGTTTAGTGGCCCCGGTTGGCAAGGATTGAAGTGTCCGTGCCACCCTCTCCTTTCAGTCTGGTTGCCCAGCATCGTCACTGTCACCCACTGCGCATAATGCTAACATTTATTGATCCCTTCTGGGCCACACACAGCTGTAAACGCGTCAGGGGACTATTTTAGTTAATCCTACAACTCGTTGAGACCGCTTAAAGACCTGTTTTATAGTTGAGGAAACTGAAGCACAAGAAGGCTAAGTAATTTCCTCAACGCTTCACAACTCATAACTGCCAGAGCCGGATTATGCAGACCCCAGATTGGCAGGTATCTTAGCTGTGCCACACTTAGGTGTTCAAAGGCTTGAAATCTGTAATTTTTAAAATCTGAATCAATTACGGCCCATCTCCAGGGTTTGAATCCCAGCTCTGTGAGTGTTTGGAACACCGGGGAACAGATATTCCCAGTAGGGCTAATTGGGAAGCACATCTTGCTGTGATAAATGAAACCGTACTTTCCCTTCTTTGGTTGGGACTGGCATTGTTTTGTTGGTGTTGGCATGTCTCCTGGCGTGACACTGAAACCACATGTATAGTTAATTGGTTGGATATGGCAGGGTTCAGTATCTCATGGGAGATACATCAGAACCTTGCCTTTGGCAAGAGTCATGTGTCTTTTCAAGCCTTTTGCTCCCACCTTCAAAAATGCTTATTTTTTTTTCCGTTACTAATCCTCTGCTGAATATGAAATATTGTGGAGTTATTAGGGAAGAATTGGGTTCATGACTGCTTCTCCCATCAAAAGAACTTTAAGAGATTAGATACATATGTATATTTTTTAAAAACTTTGTAAGTAGGTACATAGTATAGTGTTATAAACAAGCAGGCCACCAGCTGCGTTTTGGGCCTGTGTTTATATTTACAGTGGGTGTATTTTATTACCATGAGATTTGACCTTAGTGACTCATAAATAACAAAATATTCAGGCTTCATATGTGACCTAGTCAAATTTTCTGCGGGATCAGATTATTGAGCTCAGAATACTAGATAACAGGTTTTCTTGGTTTCTTTATCAGTAAGCTGTAATCAAGAAGTCATAAACATAACTTATCTCAGAAACAGCATGCTTTGTTCATTTCTTAAAAGAGATGTGTTTATGGGAAACTGTGGTGTAATGGATGGATTCAGACAGATTTGGGATTAAATCTGAGTTATTTCATTTGTTAATTGCATCATTTTGAGCAAGTTACTTGATTTCTCCAAGCCTTACTTTACTCCCTCATAAAATAAAACCAGTATTTAGCTTTCAGGTTAATTATGTGGATTAGAGGTAATATATCTAAAGTTCTTAGTTCATAGGACAGCTCAATAAATGTTGACAGTTTTTTAAAATTATATTGTAATTATTGTTATTGTAAAATTTATTATTAAGCCTGGTAAGCACAATAACTGACATGTAATAGTACTTTCTTAACCCTCCAATCTAAGTCACTCTTGACTATTTACAGAAAATAAATTTAAAAGACTGATTCATAAATATTTTGCAATTAAGATGAAACTTATTGAACATACAACATACAAATTATCAAACTTATGAAACATACATAAGTTTGAAGTTTTATATGTTTATTTGATCTGGTATACAATTAACCCTTTATTAAAATGCATCATTAAGAGCTTTCTCTACCCTAAAACCTCACTAGGTTGGACTAACTAAGGTGAAAAGGCTAGTTTGATTTGCAGATTATTTATTTGTTTTTTAGAATTTTAATTGAGTAACTCCAGTTACTGTTATTAGTCATTAGCTGTTCTTATTCACTTAATTCCACCCAACTTTGGCTTTCAGTTTCTATAAAATATTTCTGAATACCTGCTTCAAGATGTAATTAATAGTGTTAGTGGCTGCATTTACTTATAAACAATAAACTCATTATCTTTGTTTTTCTAAATTGGCTAAGTAGAGATGCTGTACTTTTAATATTTAACAAAGTCTTTATAGTGCATAGTTAAAATTGTAAGTCATGCTTTGTAAGTCATGCTCAAGTAATTATAAATTCTGATTTATAAAAGCACAGATTAATGAGATTCCATTTTTCTTTGGAGGGAAGGGAACACTTTCTTCATCAATATTAATGTTGCTTCCATGAAATCTATAAGTGTATTTTGCTTAACTTTGCATTTAAAATATTTTGTATTTAAGGTCTCATTCAAATCCAGAGCACTTTAGTTCTTATGAAATTGGCTTGGGCATTTTGTGTGTTTATATTTTAACACCTTGCTCCGTTTTGAATTTAGTCCTGTCTCGCTATTCTTAAGATTGCTTCATTCTCAAAAGCTCATTTGAACCTGATTGTGTACTTAGGTCCTCTTAATATTTGATATTTACTCGTTTTTACCTAAATGTGTTGGTCTTGCTTTCTTTCACACAGACTGTTCTATTTCTGAAAGAGTTTAGTAGCTTTTTCTTACTATATTTGCATACTGCTGCATAATAGCATCTTTCCCATCTTACCCCACCCCCTCATCCCTTCCTTAGAAATAATGGTTTACATTTTAATGGAAAATTTTAGATAAATTATCTCTGCCTTTTCCTTTAATCATGATAATCTATTTTGTGTAAATTTCAGGATTAGAATGGCTGAACACAGAAGAGCCTATTTCTGTCTACAAGGATCTGTGTGGAAAAGTAGTCATCCTTGATTTCTTCACCTACTGCTGCATAAACTGTATTCATCTATTGCCTGATCTTCATGCATTAGAACACACATACTCTGATAAAGGTATCTGCCCTTTAATTGGTTTCTAACAGACTGTCCTGGCATAGGCACTGGGGGAGTAGCTGACTCATTTGCTCATTGGAAAATGAACATTTGGCAAGACTTCAATGATTCTAAAAGTAATTTCTAATACATGATTTAAGGACCCCACGTACCTTCTCATGAAGAGTTAAGTTTAGTGATAATGGTTTGCCTTCCTAAAGAACCAGCATTTAGGATATTTTTTTCCTCTGAGGTTAAGGACATGATTTACTTTTTTATGATCAAGTATTTTTAAAAGTTCATTTTGTATATTTAGACTTAAATTTGTCCTATGAGAAAATGAAACTTGTGACTCTAATCTTATATTCTTCTCACTAAGATATAAAGGTTTAAAGTTCTTATTAGGAAATGTGATTAGACTTCCTTTAATTTCAGATGACATGAATTACAGTGGAATGCCAAATATTATAGCAGATACTTTTTCTTTGACCCTGCGTTATTAAAAAACGATTTATAAAGGTTAATGTTTTCCAAAGCACACTAGGAAATCCTCTTTTATGGTATTACAAATTCTGAAGATGTAGGAGATTATACTTAGTATTTGCTTTAGAACTTTGACATTTTTTCAGATCTTTTTTCTCTTGTTTACTTCTTTCTAAAAAAGAACATATGGGGTGAATGCAACTAATTAAAGGTTCCATTTAATTAGGCTTAAATTGGGGCGCCTGGGTGGCTCAGTCGTTAAGCATCTGCCTTTGGGTTAGGTCAGGATCCCAGGGTCCTGGGATCGAGCCCCACATCGGGCTCCCTGCTCAGCGGGAGACCTGCTTCTCCCTCTCCCACTTCCCCTGCTGTGTTCCCTCTCTCACTGTGTCTCTCTGTCAAATAAATAAAATCTTTGAAAAAAAATAATAATTCGGCTTAAATTAATTGAAGCTCCACAGTTGAAGTGATATAAAGGAGAGAGGGTCACTGATCTTAGAGTAAAAATGAGACTATAGTACAGAATTGAAAGATAACTTAGTTTTAAAAAAGTGATTTTAAAAAAGGATAGATTAAAGTCTTCACTGCAAGGGAAACCTCGGATGCTTATAAGTTGTAAAACATCGTATCTTGAAATTGCCAGTCGGTGAGATTTATGAAGAACTCAGGTATTCCTGGTAGCTAAATCATGTTTTCAAAAATTTGTATTGATTTAAGAAATAAGAGTATGTCATTATCTGCTAGTTTTGGGTGCCTCTGTGTCTTGGTCAAGCTCACGTAAGTGTAAGTGTATTTATTGAACATGTAGTATATGCAGGGTTGTCTGCTAGCTGCTGAGGACATATGTAACAGTTAAAAAGCATCATGGAACCTGAGGAAAGGAGTAATTCACTTCGCCTAGAAGCTTGGAAAAGATACCTCAGAGGGGGAGACAGTTAAGCTGGAGCTTGAAAAATAAGCGGGAGTACAGCTGCAGATGCAAAGCGGGCAGGAGGAAGTTGGCTGAGGGAGTGGCAGGGGATACGCGGGGAGCATGGAAGAGTGAGCTTCGTGGGGAGAGGCCGGTAGTTTAATGTGGCAGGAGTGTGGGGGCTTCTGGGAGAGATGAACGGAGAGGAAGGTGGGTTAGGTTCAGACCAGTTGTGAAAAGTTTTATTATTAAGTATTTATTACTATTATTATGCGGGATCCGAGTCCCGCATCGGGTTCCCTGCTCCTTGGGCGCCTGCTTCTCCCTCTGCCTCTCTCTCTGTCTCTCATGAATAAATAAATAAAATCTTTAAAAAAAAAAAAAGAATTAACATTCTTAATAGCTTAGCCTTTGTCTTCCACTGAAGATACAGAGATGTTTAAGGTTGTTTTTTATTTATTTTTTTGTTTAAAAGATTTTATTTGCCAGAGAGAGAGAGTGCGCATGTACACAAACGGGGGAGCGGCAGGCAGAGGGAGAAGCAGGCTCCCCACTGAGCAGGGAGCCCGATGTGCGGCTGGATCCCAGGACCCTGGGACCATGACCTGAGCCCAAGGCAGATCCTTAACTGCTTAAGGGCCTGAACCACGCAGGCGTCCTTGTTTGTTTGATAGGAGGATGAAAGACTGGGTTAAGAATGCCAAAGTTAACTTAAGATAATCCCTAAAAGAGTGTATTTGGTTACCTTAGTTGGTTACCCCACACCTGAAGCAAATTCAAGAACTTCTTGGAATGGGTCCTTGTAACTTCTTTATCGGTTTACTGGAAGCATCATTTTTATAGCACATTGACACAAAATAAAAACTTTTTACATACAAATACACTTCTGAGAACTAAAAATACTTGAAGATCCCAACACTATAATTTCAAAGAAATATTACTTTAATAATATGCTGCTTTATGAAAATGCTGGTAACTTCAAAATATTTTTATATTGCTCAAAATATACATTCAGTTCATAATCACAAAAGCAGGTGTACCCAGAGATTATCACATGGAAGTTCAATAAGCTGTCACTATATTAATTTGCTTTCTTACAGCGATGTATCTTGTCTCATTACTATCTGCTATGTTTCTGAACATATTTGCAGCAATGCTAATAGTTCTTGAAGTGACATTCAGCAGCCTATTTTAAATTCCATGGAATATTCAGTTCATTTCATCAGTAAGCCAGAAATGCTCAGCTAAGTGAGGAAGTGCTTATTCAAAAACAGCCTGAAAAGGGTCCAAATTAATACCCAGTCTCCTTCCTCTGTAAAACGGCTTTTAAAATCAAGTTTGTAATGGTGACCAGTATCATTTTCACAATAGCATGAGGCATTATAAATGCCCGAGTCTAAAGTAAAAAGATATTTAACAGTAATGGGTGGTTTTGATCTTCAGACGTTTACGAACATAGCTGCAGTCTAAGCTTGTTATTAGTTCATAATGATTTAGCACATGTTCACATGAAACTGGTAGGTATCTCATGTTTTGGGGTTTTTTTTTTTCTGTTTCTGCTTGAGAGTTTATAAAATTTTTTTGCCTTTTTATGCTGGATGCATTAATGATATGTTATATAATACCCAAATTTAGCACAATGGCTATTCAGGAAAAGTGTTCTTGTTTCATAAGAAAAAGAATATTAGGAACATTTGACATATTTTTAAATGTGACTGCTAGGTATATGTTGATGCATAATTAAATCAAACTTACCAACCTAAATGCCAGGGTACTACTGGGTAAATGCTGGTATTCTCATGATGTAGTAGACACTCCTTTTCCGTTTTATACTTTATTAAAAATTAGAAGAATGGAGTTCTAATTTTATAATGAAACTAAACCTTTCAGTGACTCCATATATAATTTGATGGTGTGTCAGGGTTCCCAATACCATCACCAGGTTCCATAATTATTTAGGAGGACTCACAGCTGTCATTTGTTACAGCTAAAGGATACAGAGTGAAAGCAGCAAAGGGAAAAGGTGCTCTGGTGAGGCTAAGTCCAGAGGAATCAAAACACAGGCTTCCTCCTCTCTTAGTGGAGTCATACAAGACAACTTAATTCCCCAGCAAGGAGTTGTTAGAGCACATTTGAGATGTTACCTACCAGGGCCTCTCATTAGAGACTCAGCAACCAAGGTTTTTATTGGGAGCTGGCCAAATAGGCAGCTTCTGCCTGGCAGCATGTAGGAAAATTCTAGAGTCCCAGAAAGAAAGCAAGTGTTCAGCATAAACCATATTATTTGTACGGCCAGTTTAGGCATAGCGAGACACTCTTACTCGTTCTGGGAATGGCAGGCACCCTCCTGAAATCCAGGCAAGGGCCAGCCTTATAAAGCAGGCCTTCGAAAGACTACCAGTCAGGCATGCTATGTTAACTCTTCTCTGCACACACTTTATATTTTCTTTTTGCAGCAGTCCATATATTATTCTGTTTTTAAAAAATGAAGTGTGATGGAAATATTGGTCAATTTATGGCAAACTTCTAGGATGTTTCAAGAGAGACACAGGGCAACATTAGTTTTTGAAATTCTAAAAAAAATTTTCAAATTTGTTTCAGCTCTGTGCTTTAGTGTTCAGTGATTTTGATCTTTTCAGTTCATGTTTCCATTGCTTTTAGTATGAAACCTAAAATCCTACCTGTCCCCACCCTACTCTTCTTCCCTCAGGGTGTTCTAGCCTCCCTGGCCTGCCTTTAGTTCTTCAGTGTCATGGTTCTTCGGTTGTTCGTGCTTTAAGGCCCTGACACTTAGTGTTCACTCTGCTGGAATACCCTTATCGTTTTTTGCCTAGTAAAGTGTCATCCTTGTCGTTTAGCTCTCAGAATGTCTCCATTTACAATTTTGTAACATGTAAAACTCAACTGTTTTTAATCCTTGCATTTAACTAGGTTATTACAGTGTTTGTGATTAAACTGTGCTACTATATATTATGTAAATATAATAATGTCATATATATTGCTATATACAATTATAATCTAGTACAATTCTATATGTCTCTGAAAAATAAGACCTTTGAAGCTTTTAAAATGATTTTTTTGAAGTTATTTTATTACTAATATTTTAGAAGCAGTTATTTTTATATGGCTTCTCCTTCCCTCTTCCCTCCCTCTCTTCCCTCCTCCATCTCCCTCACCTTCCTTTCCTTCCATATTTTATTTTAATGGAGTAGTTTTGATCCCTGTGCTGGCAGAAGATTGATAAAATGAAGAATCTTTTACATTGTTTTTTATTGTGTATGATTAACAGAAAAAGCAAAATATTTTTTAAAAAATCTCTAAGATTCTTGACACTGAAAAAATGTGAGGCATCGTTACTTAGCAGTGGTCTTTGTAGATTAATATAGATATTCTATTTAGACCATATGCTATGGTTTATATAGTGTCTAAATATATAAATTTCTTCAGGGTTCATGTCCCATCTATTCATCGTTTTATTTCCTACTATGTACTGAGCACTGTGCTAGTGAATAATAAAACATGCATGATCTCTAAATAGTTAATATGAATTATAGTCTTGTTAACAGGGGCAAGACTTATAATCAAATACTCACAAATAGTTTTATAATTTCTGATTAGTGCTAAGAAG